CAGGATACCGGCCAGGGGACGGCCGGTAGCACCAGGGATAAAGCGGACCAATCCCCCGTGCCTCCCCTCAGGCCCCTTCCCTACGAACATAGCAGACTCTGCTTGATGCCGATCGGGGGATCCAGTGGTCTATCTCTTGGGTAGCGGGTGCCAAGTAAGCCCAGGAAGGTACATGAGGCCAATGGGGATTGAACCCATGACCTCCTGAATGCCACTTGCGAGCCTTACCAACTGATCCTGATTCTTCCTCTAAATGTCTTTGCTTTGGCATTCTTTCCTGTATCCCTCCCTGTGTCCTTCCCTTCCTCTCTTCTCTGAATGTTCACCTTTAACTGTACTTGTCGCTTGAATTTGTTAGCCTTCTCTCCTGCTCGTTGGGGTAGGTCACTATAGAAGAATAGGATAGTTTGGAGACCTTGCGAAAGTTGTTGGGTGATTGGCGGTGGTGTCACTACTTGGGAAAAGTTGGGATGGATATTCCTGCAGTCCGGATCTGCCGGATCCAGAACTCGGCCTGCTGTTTTCTTTCTAAGGGAAGCCGGGCCCGTTTCCCGGTTTTTCTATTATTAAAAAAAAAAAATAAAAAAAAATCAACAAGAAAATTGAAGAAATTGACAACTTTTTTTTTTCTTCTCTTTTTTTTCTTTTTTTTCAAGAACTTGATCCCTTGTCATTGCCTATTGTTCAGAAAGTGCCATTGCTGTAATTAATGCACTATTGTTTGGATAACGTTATCCAGTTAAAAAAAAATTAAAAAAAAATAACGTTATCCCACAACATTATCCAACAATCAGTCATTTTTATTTTTTTACTAATTTACTAATTTAGTACCCTTTCAGAGATTCAGTGTCTTCTCGTACCACCGCTGAGATAGAGGGATGTTACAAGGGCTTTCACATTTAAATAATAATAATAATAATAATAATAATAATAATAATAATAATAATAATAAATAAAAAAAAAAGAAAAGGGATTCAGTGTCCCTTTTTCAGACTGCTTTGCTCAAAGCAGGTCGTCCATGTGGAGTTTACTACTCTGTTCGCCTGAATACGAATACAACATACCGTCGTTAAAAAAAAAAAAAAAAAACATACAGTCATTATTGCTGTGTAACCTAGACTCAAAGCTCAAAGTTGTCCGACCATACGTTGTATTCGGATGAGCACAGCCGTCTCGTTCGGTGTGTGTGTGTGTGTGTGTGTGTGTGTGTGTGTGTGTGTGTGTGTGTGTGTGTGTGTGTGTGTTTTTCTCTTTTTTTTTCTTTCTTTTTTCTGTTCTGTCTTGCTCGGTGTTGTGTCTTATGCACAGCGTTATCCACAACATTATGCTGAACGTTGTCCACGCTGCGGTCCACTCATCATTCCAGGCTTCCAGCGCTTATCGCTATTTATAGCAACACAACCATATGCGCACAACCTTAACCCATCCACGACATTTTGCACGTCCGTCCGTCCGTCTTCTCGCATTCTTCTCGTCAACCTTATCCCCAACCTTTATGATGCTTAGGGCCTCCCTCGCTCCACCACTCACCAAATGTGCAAAACGAGAACGTCAATCTTCCGCTAGAACACGGAAAGATACACCGCCATAACCGTCAATCTCCCGCCAGAACACGGAAAGATACACCGTCAACCTTCCGCTTGAGCATGGGGGAAGATACTCCGGCTGTGACCGACATAATTTTTGTCTTTTCCGTGTGGTCAGTGGTCGAGCAAGGCTCTTACTAGTCGTTCCAAAACCCCTTACATCCAATCTTCTTATCTCAAAGACGATACAACCTTGTCCACAACCTTTCCAGGCCTTCAACAACTCTATCCACAGCCTTCAAGATCTCTTCCCCAATCCCCTTATCCACAACCTTATCCACAACCTTATCCAAAACCTTATCCACAACCTTATCCACAACCTTATCCACAACCTTATCCACAACCTTACAACCTTTTGTCCACAACCTTATCCACAACCTTATCCACAACCTTACAACCTTTTGTCCACAACCTTATCCACAACCTTATCCACAACCTAACAACCTTTTGTCCACAACCTTATCTACAACCTTATCCACAACCTAACA